TAGAAAACTGGAACGAACAAAAGAAGCCACGGAGCACTATAATCAAGCTGAGCCATTGTATATACATCTAGAGCTTAAGGGAATTAACTAATGAATGCAATAAACCACTAACAATTACTTTTGATAACTCATGGAGAACAGGAAGGCAATAGAGAATATGAAGAAATGGAAAAACAAGTATTGTTTCAAATTTATCAATTACTACTACATAATACAAACTTCAGTAAAGTAATTCTGGAGCCACACAGCAGCTTCAGCTATGGCTAACTTTCAGTGCTACTCCAAAAATGAACAATATTGTTCCTGGGAATGAAACACAGACCCTTGTGTCGATTTCCTTGATAGTCCCTAGACAGCTATTTTGGCTTCCTATATTCAATATAGATGGTGATTAGCAGTTAAATACAGACCATAAAATAAAGCTTGCCTCAAAAGCCTGTCTCAGAAGAAAATACAAGTCATCCTCATTGTTCTAGCTAACTTTCTATAAATTAACATATCCATTCTAAATCTGTCCATCTGATATGCTATCTTAATTTTGAATTTATTATTTTAGCTCTAACTGCAACCTTAGTGTAAACAAGGATTACTTACTGGATTTGCATTTATACTAGACTACCAAGATTTTTTCCGAAAGCAATGCATACCTTGAATATAAAAATAGTATAGGTTAGGAGCAGGGCCTTGACTTTTCTTTTAAACGTGTTTAAAAAGCTTTGGATTATCTATAATCAGAAAGTCATTATCTACCAAAAATGGAAAAAAATACTTTTTTGGAAAGTTTTTTGGAAAAATGGAAAAAAATACTTTTTTGGAAAGTCATTATCTACAAAAAATGGAAAAAATTACTTTTACTGAACACTGCTTTCTACCATATGGATTCATTTTCAGGAGTAGCCTAAAACTGTTCAGGAATTTGACATTGTGATAATGAAGTGTTAACAAGGAATATTAGGTAGAGCTGATATTAAATGAGCAGATGGTGCTTGCAATTTAAAATTCATTGTAAAGTACCTATCAGGAAGGATTGTCAATAATGTATAATGACTGAACCAACCTAAATGCAAAAAGGTATAAAAAAAAGTTACTGGAATTTATCTGTGCATATTTTGCAGGTGACTCTTGTGTTGCTTCCAGATAATTTGTTTATATATAGTTATGTGCTGTTGTGTTTTCATGTTTGCCATTACCTTGTCAGCCAGTTACTTTGTAGACTATTTTTAGGTTGATCTTAAAAACAGAGGCTTTCTTTTTATTACCTATAGTGAAATGCTACATGGTTTAGTAATTGCTTAGAATAGCATAAGTTCTATTTCTATTCAACTGAAAACTATTGTTTCAGCCAATAATGGGAAACTTTTTTTCCTCCTAGTGGATACATATCTAATTTACAAAATTAAGGTGACATACTAACATTCTTCTCCCCAATAAATTTATATTTGGAAATTATATTTTCAATTAGAGGGAACAGAGAAATGGCTAGGCTACTCTCATCATGACTGCAACAATGACAAATTTTCCTTCACAGGTACTCCACATCCCACTGTTTCTTTTTGTATAGCTGTTATAGCCAATGGAGTTTTTTTCTTTTTCTTTTCTTTTCCTGATATTGCTACCTTGTTTCCCTCCATCTGCCCTTAATCTGTGCTCAGCATACTCATTTCCTTTTAACTTTCTCAGATGCCATGCATTTTCATTTTTCTGATCTTCATTTTTCTGATCTTGCAATTCTCACTTTACTTTTGCCTTCTAATATGGATGCCTTAACATGAAACACATTTATCTTTCATTAATTTAGAAAGGAACATGCATGTATACTAGTTGCAATTGGAGGCTACAACTGTCTTAATCACTAATTCCAATTAATGGTAAGAGATGGCATATTTTCTGCATGTCTGGATCTTGACATCTGTACAATAAATTTGCAGAAAAAGAACAGTTTATGTTATGCTTTAAAAGCATTGATACTAGTCTGGGCAAAGTTGTGAGAGGTATTTTGCAATGTGTGGAAACACAAACCAACTCTCCTTGAACCATTAAAGCAGCTGCATCTTTTGCAGGGCTACATGATATTTGGTGGCTGTTCCCTGCACAACTATTTGCTTTGCTGAAAAGAAAGCAAAGCTTTACTATGAGTGTGACTAATATTATATTTTAAGTTAGTATGAAAAGTTAAAAATACAGTGATTTAGAGAATTTAGTTTTATAGATTTATTTATAACTATTCTGTGGATTTTAGCCTTATTGCTATTTTTATAGATTTTAGATTCATAGACGTTGACTTCTAGTTTTCAGTTTATAGCTTGTAATCTCATATGTATTTTATAAATATATTTTGCATTGTTAAAACTTAGCATTATAGGTAGAGACTTAATTTGGGGATTAATTTTGTGTTCTGTGTTTTTATGCATGTCAAACACTGAAATAAACTGAACACTAATATTATAGATTTTTATTTAAACACAAAAGAAAAAAGCACATAACATCAGTAAAATTGCTTAAAATAAAAAAGAATTATTCAGGCAACAAATGTTGTTAAAAAGCTTTGTTAAAAATATTTTTAATCAGCTCTTGTAATGTCTTTAATGAGATGAGCCTTCTCTGAAACAAAGTGTCTCTTCCTCAAATATTCCTAATTAAAAGTATTATTTATTTATGTGTAGTTCCTGTTTTAAGGCAGAAGCTGTCCTGAGTTTGAAAAGCTGACTCTTTCAAGATCTCTCCAGCTCTTTTGCAATTTACTTTAAAGGCTTGATGCCAAATCTCCAATCAGCTTGGGGGGTTAGGTTCTAAGGAATGATTTCTCTCCTCCCTCCTGAGACACCAAATAAGCAGACCTCTGGTTCTGAATAAAGAAGACCAGTTTGTAACTTGGTGTAAAGAAATAACTGTACAGATATACAAATAATATCATACAGTTAGAAGAAAAAGTTTAAACAACACTAAGCTATTGAATTCTTTTGGATGAATTTTGTTGTATTCCACAGCAGCCTATCCCGTTTAAGGATATTTTTAAATAAACCAACTCTCCCCCCTCCTTTGCATAACCTTTAAGACATGAACTGGGAGATGTAGTGCCTTGGGAGATTCTTTTGTGCCTTGGGTTGGGAGTCTGCTTCTGTCTTGGCCTGTTTGATATAGGTTGCTCATCTCTTCACTTTTCAGACTCAATCCTTATCCAGGTAATCCACTAAGTGTTTTTGCTTTCCACATTGCTGAAAAGCTATCAGCTTCCCTTTTTCCATTAGCTGATTTATATTCCCAATTCGTTTGCATCTCCCCAGCTGTAGCCCTCTTTCTTATTAGCTGTAGCCAGTAGAACATCGTTTGGCAGAGTATTGCAGGGAGAACAGCCTTTAACTTTCTCCTTTTTTACCCAGAGCTTGCTCATGAGTATTCTTAATCTCATGCTTTAAACCATTATGTCGTACTACCTTATCTCTTAGCCTGTGCCTTTCCATTTCTTCTTTTCCCTGGACATGGCTCCAGACTAACTTCTACTTCTTTCCTTTCTTCCTACCCCCTGGCATCTCTCTGTCTTGTATCAAGGTCCGCAATGTTTATGCCTTTCATAATTGATCTAAAATTCATGCCTCTTCTTCCTTGGGACATCTCCTTCTCTTGTCCAGAGGTCTCTGATTTATTTCTTTGCTGACTCCAAGGTGTCTGTCAGCAGACAGTCTCTTCATCTCTATTCTCTGTTTGCTCTTTCTGAAGGTTCTTATTTCTCCCCGATTTGTTATTGACAGTTATTAGTTATTAGGAGTTACTGACAGACCTAAAACCTTGGTAGCCAGGTTTTATCATCCTTATCTCTCCTGGCAAAGTCCTACCAGTTTGTACCAGTTTGTTATTCCTTTAATTATACCTGTGCTTTGCTGCACCCTTCTGGGTTGCATATGAATGACTCCTTAATCTTGTGGTATTCTTTTTTCTGTGATGGCTATTCAAAATGAGGACGTGTTGAGAAGAATTCATTTCATTGCCAGGCACTGCCTGTAGCCCAAGGGGAAGTTTAATGACACCACTTGGCCAGCAGGAGCCAAGACTGGGGCAATCCTGGGAAAGTGAGTCCCTTTCCTGAGCTGCTTCTAAGTCCTACAAGGGAGTTTTGCATACAGACTCACCAGCTTCATTCTTAATTGCTATGAACTGAGGTTAAACACTTATTGAAAGGGCCAGAAAGGAATTCTGTCACTATTGCCACTTAATATGAATGCCTTCCTCAGAGACACCCTGCAATTTGAATGTTATGTATATGGGCTGTGCTGAAGTTGGTCTGAGTCTGCTGTCACTGCCTGCACTGTCCCAGCATATATGGCAAAATAGAAAAAAATCAGGGCCATTTTAATATTATTCAGACTATCTGTAGTCATTTCCTTCTTATTTAGACTCCTTCCCTCAAAATAAGTGTAGCAGCTCTCTGTGGTTGCAGGCAGAGAAGCTTTCTATCATCAGCTTCCTGGCTATTTTACTACAATATTGTACTGAACCTATGTTCTTCTAATGAATTATGGCTCTGTGGGTATAACAGAGTTTTAGGTAATCTGTTGAAATCATTCAGAAAATTCAGAAACTGTTAATGCTGTTCTTTCTTCCAAAAGATGCGTTATATGGATAAGGATATACAGTAGATAAACATCAAACCCTAAATGATAACTGCTGATTTGCCTGGCAGTATTTAATTACTAATAATAATATCATCATCATCATCATCATCATCATCATCATCATCATCATATTTTTATCCTATTTGTGTGTGTGTGTGTGTGTGTGTGTGTGCGCATGTGTGCCCAAACACACCTCAAGTCAGTTTTTGACTTCTGGGGACTGCCTGGACAATTCCCTGCAGTTTTCTTGGAAATGGTTGCCATTGCCTGCTTCCTAGGGTTGAAAGAGAGGGACTGGCCCAAAGTTGATCATAAGCTCCTTCACTACTTTTTGTTATTTCTCCTTCATTCTGAAAATTAACAAAATTTGTACATATGCTTATATTTTAGTCAGTGAAGAACTACACCAAATGTCATGTAAGAAACGAACAGATATGTAATAAATTGACTAGTTGCAAAAGCTGTTCACTAAACCTCAATTGCCAGTGGGATCAGCGACAGCAAGAATGTCAAGCTTTGCCAGGTAAAAAAAAATTTAAAAATTAAAAAATAATATTTGAATAATGCAATATTTAATAACAAATAATCTTTGCTATTAAAGAAAGAATGGGGCAATCAGATCAGGAATGCAGGCTGTTCTCAGTTTGACAAAACTGTAATATTAAGTATTCAGTGTAATCAGTACAATAGTAATAATAATGGACCAATGGGGGGGGGGTTGTCCATTGTTCCCAGTTGTTGAAAGTACTGCATTGCAGTGATTTTCATCATTTTGGTCATAACATAAATTATACCATTTGTTTTTCAATGGAAATGATGCAAATTGCTGTAAGTAAGGTCATTATAACTTTTTTGTGTTTACTTTTTATGTGATGCTTTAAATGCAATGGACACATTGTTTCGGGATGTCTAGACATACATTTTGTCTTTTGCATCCAAAGCCAGATAAATGGGATTCCATTAAATCAAAGTCTCATTGTATTTGATTCAAATGTAGTTATTTTTCTGGAAAACACTTTAGTAAATTCCAAAACACCCCTCAGTGTGTCCTCTAAACATTATGCAACGGATAACTTTTATGATTCAAAATGCTTATTAATCCCCTGACATTTTTGGCATAACCCATTATATAGCTTATTATTACTTATAGTTTTACTTTAGTCATTTATCATGTTAGTACTGTTTGCTCACAACAACAACAAAAAGGGCTTCTTTCTTTATGTTGAAAATAAAAGGAAGACAGTAAAATGTAATAGACAGTAAAATGTAATACAAAAGGAAAAGCAGAGTACTAATCTCTTGTTCAGTTTTGTGTTCTCCGAGGTACCTCTGAAAGGCAAGATGAAGGGGCAGGACTGAAGCCTGAGACTGATAGAAACCTCATTAAGGGATGTACTTTTACTATGAATGAGTTTAAATTTCTAGGGCCAATATATTCTAGATTATTGAAAGAACAAGCTGATGGTCTGGCTGAACTCTTAGGTAATTTCTTTGAGAAATGATAAACTCTGATGTAGTATGGCGTTATTGGAGGAGAGCAGATGTCCTTATTTTCAAAGAGAGAAAAAAGGAGGAGCTAAGGAACTACTAATAAGTTATTCTGATATCAATATTTAAGAAGATTGTAGAGCAGATCATAAAGACCTTGATCTCTAAGCACATTGAACATATTGCAGTAATTAGCAGGTGTTGAGCATGAAACTGAGCAAACTCAGGGAGGCAGTGAAGGACAGGAAGGCCTGGCGCGATATGGTTCATAGGGTCACGAAGAGTCGGACACGACTTAACGACTGAACAACAACAACAAAGCAGGTGTCAGTGTGGACTTATATGTTATTGCACTAATTTATCCAGTTTGGATCTATTGCTTTGTGTATGTACTTTTTCCCCTTAAAGCAGATATAAAGCTTAGTATATAATGGACATGATGTGTTTAGAAAGTGTTTTAAAATATGAATTCTTTTGCTGTTCAAAATGGATTTTTTTAAAATTCACAATTACTTTTAATCTTGTGTAATGTTTTACTAGCTCACCTATGTGGAGAAGGATGGAATCATGTTGGAGATGCTTGCCTGCGTATAAACTCTAGTCGTGAAAACTATGACAATGCCAGACTTTATTGTTATGGCTTAAATGGGATTCTTGCTTCACTAACAACCTCCAAAGAAGTAGAGTTTGTTCTGGATGAAATACAGAAGTACACTATCCAGGTAACTTGAATAATTCATAAGTGGATGTGTGTATGTAAAGTACTGCTTGGCTTTATTTTAAGAATAGTGATGACAAATCTTAGAAAAAATATGTATCAGCATTTCACCCAATGTGATACCAAGTTTATGTACATCGGATCTACTGATGTATTACAGTAGGTGAGGTAGATACTGAAGGATTTCTTTTTTCTATTATTCCATATTAGATTGAACCCTTCTGATTTGCAATATAGGTCTATATTCTATTTTTAAAAAATCAGTAAAAAAATTATTGTTGAAAGAATTGAATCCAAACCTAGAGAAGTAATTTTTTAAAAGAAAAAAATAGTTAAATTTAACATCACTGCAGTGTTTGCAATTATTTAATCAGCTGATATCATAGCTGGCATGTTGTCATTGGTTTTATCATTTGGAGAATAGCTATAACAATGATGGCTGAAGCCGTTCTGAAAACAGTTCGGTTGCATTTCCTTCAGTTGGGTTGAATTGAAAACCCAGTTGTTGTTTTTTACCATACTGTACCACCTGTACATTGATCTTTATTTATAATTTTTATTTTTAGCTTTTCCACTATTGGGTAAATTACTAATAAATTTAGTACTAATGAAAGAAAAAAAGAAAAGAAAAACATAAATCTTGTGAATGGCTCAGTATTGCATAGGTTGCCATTGTAGCCACATCTACATGCCACCTACATCTGCAATTCTTTTCTCATCTTCCAATCAGTAACAATTACGTAGTGGATGGAGACAAGAAAGGTTGGGATGTATGTATCCTTTTAATAATGTAGGGTCTTCCTTCTGGAACTGTGTGTTTATATTTGAAAGAACTGTTCCTTCCAATTTTGGATAGAGATATGTGGCTAACAATTCACCTGGTTCTTTCTTTCAATTAATACAGTAGCTACTGATTTATTATTCTTGTTTATTAATAGGGAAATGATTTCATAAAACATAAATGTTATTCATAGATGCTACTAGTAAGTATAATTGCCAGTAGACATAATCTTCTTTATATTAAGTAAGGTTATTAAACTTTCTAGTGCAGTATAGACTATTCTTATATTCAGTAGTAGTTAAAAGCACAATATAAATATAATAATACTAAACAGCTAGCACAACTATTAAAAGATGCCAATACTGTGATATCAAATATGAGCACCAGCTCACTGCAAGAAACAAACCAAATGATGTACTGCACAGCTGCAGTAATAACTGAAGATCATGGATGCAAAGTCAACAAAAAAAGCAAGTAACAGCATAGCCAAGAAAATCAGCAGATATGAAGCTTGAATTGCACACTATAGGCAGAATCTCCAATTTCAGTCGAATCAGAAACATTTTTATTAATCCATCAATGGAGAGACTGCAGTGAACCAGCCAACACCTGACAAAGAAGAAACAGCGCAGTTCTGGGTGCAGCTATGGGACAACCCAAAGAAATACAAGAATGCAGCTTGGATAAAGGACATAGATAAGAATAAAAAGGGGGCTGAAATGAAAGAACTTGTATATCAGCAGAAATGGTAGAGAAAATGGCAAGGAAGATCAAGAATTGGTCAGCACCATGCAAACCAGCATGGTTTTTGGTCGAAACATCTGACTGGTTTGCACCCACTTATTGCCAAGCAGTTTAACAACATACTGCATAGAGATGAAATTGAAGATTGATTAACATCTGGCAAAACCTACCTGATAATGAAAGATCCAACAAAAAGGACAGCACCAGGCCAATTACCTGCTTGCCAACAAATTGCTAACTGGTGTGATAGCTGATGCAGTCCAGCAGCATCTAGTAAATAAACAAGCTCTTTACATCTGAGCAGAAAGGAAACCACCCAAACAGCAGAGTGACAAAAGATCAGCTCCTAATTGACAGGATGATTTTGGAAAACTGTAAGATAAGGAAGACCAACTTGAATGTAGCTTGGATTGGCAAACTACTGTTTGTCATTGCATTGATTCCTCTGTCAACAATACTGAACAAGTCAGGCCACGGCTATCAAACATCAAAAATATCTGCTAGGCTATCCCACCTCCTTTACATGGATGATCTAAAGCTGCATGGAAAAGCACCATCTGAAATGGAATTGCTGCTCAACACTGTCCAAATATACAGCCAAGATATTGCAATGGAGTTCAGATGGACAAATGTGCCACCCTTACCATCAACTGGAGAAAAATAGTGAAAACTAAAGGAATCAAGATGCCCAGTGGAAATAACATCAAGAGTCTGGATGAAGAGGATCACCACAAATCACCTGGACATCCTTCAGGCTGACAGCATCAAACACGCTGAAGTCAAGAAGAAGGTTAGCAGTGAATACATCATGAGGGTGAAGAAGAAATACTATCAAGGTGATTAATACCTGGGCAATTCCAGTCATTAGATATACAGCTGAAATAGTGGACTGGACTCAAGCTAAACTAAAAGCTGTGGCCAGGAAGACCAGAAAAATAATGACAATGAATCATGCCCTTCATCCATGCAGCGATGTTGACA